TGAAAGCATTATTATATACTAGGCACATAAAGAAACTGTGCATACAAAAATTTTAAATCTAAGTTTATCAAACCTGTGTAGACACATAAGAATTGAAACTCAGAGATTAGTGACGTATCCAACATGCATGCACGTGCCACGTTCCGTGACGTCAGTGGGTTCGTCCTTGAGACGTGCAATACGTTGTTGCACGTGCATTCCGGGAAAGAGAAACAGAGCAAATGAATGCCACACAATACTGTCACTTTGGAAAGCTCAACCCCTGCCCTTGCGATCGTTCAAAAAATTAAACGGCTATTGAAACGCATAGCATGCAAAGGCTCACGTCTGCACAACGTTCATGAGACCATTGGGATGGTCCGTGGGGGAATGTCTCAACGACAAGTGGCTGCACATTTCCACTGCCACCGGAACACCATTTCTGCACTGGTGAGACGCTACCAGAACACAAATGATGTCATCGATCGGCCACGTTCTGGACGTCCACGTGTAACAACGCCAAGACAGGACAGATGGATAAGGGTGACCCATCTTCGCCACAGGTTTCAGACTGCAGTGATGACTGCCCGAACCATCCCAGGACTTCGCCGTATCCACCCCAACACAGTTTGACAACGTTTACGTCATCACGGGATCAGACCACGACGTCCCGCCATACGGCCTATCCTGACACAACGTCATCGACAAGCTCGCCGGATGTGGTTCCGAAATCATGTCCGCAGACCCTTGTTTTGGTGGAGAAATGTTGTATTTACAGATGAGTCCAGGTTTAACATTTCCCATAGTGATGGACGTCAACGTGCCTAGAGACGCGTGGGAGAACGTTATGCACAGGCCTGTGTCTTGGAGAGGAATCGCTTTGGTGGTGGTTCCGTGATGATTTGGGGTGGAATAACAGCACGCAAAAGAACTCCTTTGTTGATTGTTCGGGGCAACTTAATTGGTGTTGGTTACAGGGATCAGATTCTTCGACCTGTGGCAATTCCTTTTCTGCAACGTTATGGCCCTGGGTTAACATTCCAACAGGACAATGCCCGCCCTCGTATGGCAAGGATTGCTTGGCCTGCAAATTCACCGGATCTCTCCCCGATAGAGCATGTTTGGGACGAGATGGATCGACGTCTACGCCGTCTTCCTCATCCGCCAGATAACGTCCTTGACCTTGCAACAAAACTTGAGAGAATCTGGCGTGACATCCCACAAGCCTTCCTTGCACGTTTGATAGGCTCTATGCGTCGTCGATGCACTGCTGTTCTCAATGCCGATGGTGGACATGCCCGTTGTTGAGCGTGTGACATGGTCATTTGACCCCTGTCCCGCTTGTGGACTCGTGACGTCATTGTGATTGACTTTTCAATTGAAACTCTCCCGACTTCTTATGGTCTCATGATCCCTCCATTAAAGTTTATATGTACCTTTGACATTGTTATCGTACTTATCAACTGGGATAATATATTGACAATGCACACTTTCTTTATGTGGCTAGTATATTTGTTACGTGTACATATGCATGATTCTCTAACATGAAGCGCACGTAATTTCATAGTGACCGGGACATGTGCTGATTCAGTTCGAGATAGTATCGCAAAGTCGGTTACATAATCAAACAGATGCCGAGGAGATAATATAAATAAGTTAGAAAATTAAATTTCTGTTGAACTAAGCAACCAATACCTACATATTGGATGCATATTAGTTTTTAATGTATTAATTAAGTATTATTTCGAATTAGATATCATAACGACCTTCAGGCGAATTCAGGAATTGTTTATCAGACAATAGCGAAGCATCTTAGAGTATCTTAGCTTGACAATGGTGTAAGATTCTACACCGAAGCGTCGATTTATGCAATAAACAACATAGGCGGATCCCCCCCTCCCCCCTTTTTGTGCTGAAAGTTTGTTAAATGACCATTGAAACTCGGGTAAAATTGAAGTGTGCACCCCTCCTTTTCTCAATCGTGCACCCACCACCCCTTTCTCAAAAAGCTGTATCCGCCCCTGAACAATGTGTTATCAATAAAGTCGTGTGCTTCATTTTTTAAACACCTACTTCTAGTATGAAGAATGAGGACTATTCTTATGGATATACAACTTCTTATTCTGTATAGGCGACGTTTCGACATAGATTATAATGTCGTTGTCAAGCAAGTGAATCTATGTCGAAATGTCGCCTATACAGAATAAGGAAGTTGTATATCCATAACAATGTCCTCATTCTTCATCTCCTCAACTTCTAGAGTGCTAGAATGCCAATAAATCCCATTTATCATACGCGTACCTGTCCCACTGAATACTTGAGGAATAGCGAAAAGGGTGATTGACGAACTTCGGACTTACATAATACAAATGTACTGATATCATAGTATACACAGTCATATATGTAGCTAATGGAATTGTCAGTAAAGAGGTGCATGCGGAATAAAGAGTTCACTGTAACAATGAAACAAATAAACCGTCGGTCAAAATTCAATAAATACCCATGCTTGATGTTGACTATTAAACTTATGTAAACCAGATATTTTGATACGAATGTAATATAGTTTATACCAGTGTCATAGTAGTTTTCTGGTTGTTGGTATTGTGGGAGTGTACTTTGGCAGAGACTCGGCAACTGTTCCCAGCCTAGTAACATTCTGAAACGTTTTTAAGACACTTGATATTTTTATTTATTTTATTTTTTTTTTGGGGGTTTGGGGGTTTCAAATACAGTTTTCAATGTATTCCTTCTGTATACTGTATACCAGTTTATATACTTTATTGTAGAGAGGGAAGTGACATTTGCCTGAATACGATCGCGAATCCTTGTAATCAGGAAGTGGACTCCGTGTGTCCCACTGGGACGTTTTAAACCAATAATTCTCATTGACTAGATTGGTGATATCGCTCTGTCTGAGTGAACATAGACTATTTGAACAGTAAAGACATGTCGATTTGTCACGGTGATAATCGACGACCATTTACTATTGTTAGTCAAGCTGATCTGCGAAACGTGACGGTGTGCACTAGGCCGTGAAATGATCGCACCCATAGCTAGTATTATAGCACGCTAAATATAGCGTGTAAATATAAACATACATGTGCGTTCAGTATTATCTTGCATTACAATTGCTTTGGTACAGAAAATAACAAAGACATGCTTTCACACATCACCCTTGTTGCTACTGTGATAATGTTCATATTTCTACCTGGTTATATTAGTGTTGTCTTATCGTGCCCTATATCAAATGTCATGTGTTGCTGTCAGACTGGGACTCAACAGACCTCCGTAATCGAGACTGCAAGTTGTCAGACCTGCATTTTCAGGCGCATAGCAAGCCAATGTTTTCGTGTAAGCCCGATAGGTTGCAAAGCTTTATATTTAGATAGTATTGAGGGCTTGCCCAACCGTTTTACCAACAATCATGTGTAAGCCCGGGCTTTGGTTCATAATGGTAGCTACGCCCCTGATTTTAGTGGAAGCCGCGGTGGCCAGGTGGTTTCGGTTGCTTACTTTGCTGTGATTCAGAGCCTAATCTGAGAGTGTGGGTTCGAAATTGCCTTCTGATTGTTGATGGGCTGATAATGTTTGGTTTGCGCTGATTTTGATGCTGCAGAATTCCTGAGAAATGCGACAACATTATGAGGATGCTTCACAATATCTTTTAATTTGCCAGACGTTTACGGTTATAAGATGTATTTGTTACTTCAGTAAGGACGGATATTATCTTTGAAAATTAAGCTGAAGATGTACAACCAGAAACCAGAATGTTTTATCTATTGAGTCAGTGAGTTTAGGTTTGAGCCGCTTTTAGCAATATTCCAGCAATATCACGGCGGGGGACACCAGGAATGGGCTTCACACATTGTACCCATGTGGGGAATCGAACCCGGGTCTTCGGCGTGACGAGCGAACGCTTTAGCCACTAGGCTACCCCACCGCCCCCTTATCTTTTGACTGACTGACTGACTGAGTTTTGTTTTACGCCGCTTTTAGCAATATTCCAGCAATATCACGGCGGGGGGACACCAGGAATGGGCTTCACACATTATACCCATGTGGGGAATCGAACCCGGGTCTTCGGCGTGACGAGCGAACGCTTTAGCCACTAGGCTACCCCACCGCCCCCTTATCTTTTGACTGACTGACTGACTGACTTAGTTTGGTTTTACGCCGCTTTTAGCAATATTCCAGCAATATCACGGCGGGGGACACCAGAAATGGGCTTCACACATTATACCCTTTTGGGGAATCGAACCCGGGTCTTCGGCGTGACGAGCGAACGCTTTAGCCCCTAGGCTACCCTTTAGCCCTAGGCTACAACAACCCCCCACACACACCCACACACACACACACACACACACCCTTATCTTTTGAAGTGGGTAGTGATGTAATGTTTCTCTGATACTTTAGTTATTAACTTATGACACACAAGTGATAACTATTAATTACACTTTATAGATTGTTGGATATTTATTTATTGATGAAGCTTTTAGATTGTGTATGTACATACATGTGTAAACTATATATTATCGCCCCCACCCCATTCCGGCGAATGTTAATCAAAGCCATTGAGGAACAAATATTATTTAATCACATGATATGAAATATTTATTTCATTAATTTTAGGAAGGATTTCAATATATGGACGAGCAAAGTCTTTATTACAAGAGCTACATTTCTTCGTTTGTTCTAACACCGCTATCAAGCAAGTGATGAAAAGAGCATCGATTGAGAGATAGATAGCTCTATGCAAATATATTGATAATCTAGGTGGTTTGTGTTTTTGGGAGGTATTTGTTTTATTTGTTTCATATTCATTGACACACGCTCATGATTTACTTGAAATCGTACACTCAAGTCTGCTCTTGGCAGATGTTTTTGAGGATGTGACAACGGTTTTGCAGTCTGGTTCCCTGTGTCTGCTGCGCTGGCGCTTCACCAGTGATCCACTCTGAGGGCTTTGTACTGTATATTTACGACCGCTTCTATGTCACACAAACAAGGGCGGGTAACTCTAATTTACCGTCGCCTTCAAGATGTCTGCGCCCAATGCTTCACAACAATATCAGGAGCAACGACAGGGCCAGCGGCCACGGGTGGTACGTATCTGGTTCATGATTTCAAGACGTGAGATTACCTTTGTACTCAAGGTTCAATGATTGTGCCCAAGTCGTTGTTCGTCTTGATTACTTGACCGAAACAACGATAGGTCATATCTGAAAACTGTTCCCGTCACGGTTCGTATGGTCTCTCCTAAAAATGACATTGAGCATTTGGAAATCAATTCTCCTCTGAATTCACGACCTTGTCCGCCTTGTCATTGCCTCTGGTTGTTGGTCAGAATCCCAACATTTTAACAAGGACGTGTCCACAAATTTTCTGTATTTATGAACAGGAAAATCAGGAAATATGCACAGATGACTGAGATGTACCGTTAGGTAAGTGATGAAATGATTCATAAAGTTGCACTAGTGTTCCAGTATCACAGTTCACTGATCTATTCCAGGTAAGACCCTAACTTATAACGATGAGCAAATATTTGTTTGAGTGACATTTTTAGAAGCTGGAAATGGCTTTCCCTAGTTTCAGTATGTTCAGTGACAAATATAAAGAAACATTTCATTTGGGGTGTCATAGATCTTTCTGTAACAGAAACATGTTGCCATGTTTAATTGCAGTCATTCTGATCTTGCTGGAATTTGATGAAAAAAATCAGTTAAATCAGATTATGATTGATAAAGTAAGTCGGTATATCTCATCAAAGTAATTTGCCCATCTTAGAAGTTGTAGACTCTGTAACTGCATTCAGAGTAGACAAATGTTTTTTTGAGATATCATTTTGTCCATGTACATTTTGACTTCATTTTTTATCGGTGCTGTTTTGTGTAGAAAATTGTAAAATATATTCAGATTGATCTCTTGAATTACAGCGCCATGCCTTGACGGAGGAAGAACAAGAAGTGATCAATGAATGCAATAGAGAAAGTTTTTATTACCGATGTAAGTGTACCCTACTAGAGAGAGATCACAAACAAAAAATATACAATGAAAATATATTTGTTTCATAGTGATAGACATCTATGTTACTACTCTAACACCAGAATCACATTTAATCAAGTTAAAGTTAAAAATGTTTTTATGAAACCAACAGGTATCTTTTTCAACAAACTCAAGTTTAATCTTGTTAATATAATGAATATTTGTTGCATTACTCTTCCAAATTCCCACATCCTAACAATAATCCAGTAATATCACAGCGGTGTGTAGGAAGACACATGAAAGCTTTGAAAATCATTATTATCAATACTATCAATAACAAAATAACTTAAATGGTATATTTGCCACAATTCAGTTATGAGTAATGCAGTTTGCCAGTCTAAGTAAACCTAGGCTCAGTATTATTCATTACACTGCTGTACTGAGTCTAACAAAATCTTGTGGAAGGTCGCCTTAGGTATCCTTTCCAATTGACCAATCAGAACACAGCTTACCAACACGAAAGTGGACATTCGCACATACCTTTGGAACTTTTACCTCGAAAAAGTTTGTACCCGAACGGTTCCGAATGCTATTTTCCGTACGATCAGTTCCTAGTGATGCATGCCACAGCAGTGAGTAAACATTCGCTGAAAATAGCGTTTTGTCAGTATTAAAGCATGTCAAATTGCGGAAATATTAGATGATTATAACCATGTCAACAGGAACCCAAAAGCGTATATACTACAGGTCAAATCTGTGTTTTATGCGGATTTTCATTTGTTGGGAGATATCAGTGTTGACGACCGAGGATGAGAAAATCCATTTTGTAAGTCCTGCCAAACCCTAAATAGTAGCCGTTGTCTTATTGGTTAAATTCGTTCGTCCGTCTCGCCTTTGATTGGACAGACCTTCCACAAGGTTTTGTTAGACTCAATATAGCAGTGTAACGAATAATTACTGAGCCTAAGTTTACTTAGACTGGCACTGATCTGAAAGGTCATCACATAACTAAATATGATATTGATGCTATGTTTTTCCAGTTCACCAATGTACAATGTTACTGTTAAAATAGTCTTCTTGAAATACACTAGTCACAAGATGATTTACAATATCTCATGCTGTTTGGTGTCACTCTGGAGTTATAATTTGTCATCAGCAATTCATGCTTGTTGTGAAAGGCGACTAACAGGATCAGATGTCAGACTTGTTCATTTGGACAATATATGTCATATCCCAGGTACTCATGATGTCAATCATTGGATTGTGTGGTCTCAACCACCATGCAGTTGGAATATTGTTGAGTGCTGCATAGAACTTCAAAGAAAGAAAAGATCTTGCAAATATATATTTTAAACAAATTGTAATATTCAAGAATATCTTAGAAATATCATTTCAATTATTCAAGGATTTGTTGATGAAGGACAGTGGATGAAAAGTACATTGGACATGAGAAAGTAGTCATTAATTATTATCATATATAATAAACATAAAGTGCTAAAAATACTAGACAAAAATGAATGTAAATCTTTGTGTTGGGCAGTATGCTCTTAAGGTGAACCTGTTCAGTCTGTTTTTCACATTCTCACACTCAAATGTTAAAGTTTGTAATATGTTGTACCAGAGGTACTCTGGTGTGTTGCTTTGATCACAATTTTGAAAGCATCAGGAAAGTTAGGACCCTGCAGATTGCTGAACATGCTTTATTAAAATGTTCAGGGGAAAACTGAAGTAATCGCTGACATGTATTTCTGTCCTTGTTCAACTAGGCCTGCCTCTCAGTTTGAGTCTGATGGCTGGAGTCCAGCTTCTTGTAAACAGGGGTAAGTAAAAAAATATACATTTGACAGCAACAAATCATCTTAAATGGCATGAAAGTTAGTCACTTGTCCATACCAATTTGTCACTTTAATTTGAGACATTGGCATGAAGAAGGGCAAAACTCAGTGTTTGCCATGACGCAGAAAACCTGTGTATTTGACGCACAAATTATCTCAAGTATGCAGTGAATTTGAAGCTTGCGTCATTGTTGAAGCAATGCTACTGGGCCCTTAGTTCAGATAATCTAAACTTCTAAAACTAAATGTTTGCCAGTTAACTGCTCAGTGCTGATTAAATACCTGACCTGCCTTACCTTGTTTTTGTCGTTATTAAACAATCACAGTTGATTTCTTGATGATAGTTCCAAACTGAAGTTGACTCCCCAAACAGGACCATGACTCCCTTTCATGACACCAAGGAGTCAAGATGACTCCTAACTTTTTATGCGTAGGGCAAAAACTTAAAACTTGTTTAACCAACGATCATGTTATGTGATTTGTATGTTCCTTATGTAAATACATTCTGAATCAAACATGTTAACCAATTTCTGCACATAATGTTCATCTGTATGTCTTGAGATAATCCCTGCGTCTGCTTTTCTAGACTGGCCTCTTTAAGGGATCACCTCTGTGGACCTGTGGAGTGGAAAACGATAGTTCAGTCCCCTGCCATGTCACACCAAATGACATTACTTGTTCTCGTATGACAATATTATGTCACATTTTTCATGTATTTAGTTGTACCACATATTTTTCTTCTCTTCTGTCATTTCAGGTGTTTTGGGACGTTCACCATCATATGGAATTTATCCAAAACATATTGGTGAGTCATTTCCTATTTTGAATGTATGGGTTTTTATTGGCTATGCTCACTAGACAGATTTTACATCACGAGCTTAAAAATGAAGAATGTCAACAGAGTGTTATCTTTATGTGGAATGAAAGCCAGTAGTGTACATTTTGGATTTTGGATGTACATCAGTAACAGTTGCTGTTTGCTTGGCCTGAGCTTCAGACTAGTAGCTAATGATGCAGACTACCAAATGAAGCATTAAATGCTGTTGGGAACAGTAGCTCTTGCCTCACACGTAAAAATGTCGTTTTCTGACTGGCTGAGCACTCTTCTATTATTTTCAATTTTTCCCCGCTTACAAGCAAGTAATATTTTCTGTGTTACCCTCTGGGAATGCCGAACTGTGGGAATTTATTTGGTATTTGGTGTTAGTAATTCTTTATCTCGAATAGTGCAGAAATTACCAATGTTTTGTGAATTTTAATAGATGGAAGGGAGATAACTCTAAATTTGTTTTTCTTGTCATCTGCTAGATTCTATGTCATCTGAAAATCTAGTATTGGCTAATTGCCTAACTCTGGTACTCCTTATTATGATCCGATACCCGTGCTTCAAACAGTTCAAAATTAACATTGAGGTGTTCGGTGAGATAAATACGTTCACTGGTCCCTCAGGGCCCATGGGTTGATGTACCCTCTAGGGAACTTAACAAAGAAGGTACATCAACCCATGCCCCTCTCATGACCAGTGAACAACTTATAATAGTACTTCACTGGAAAACGTTGAGTACTGGCATGGCAGTAACAAACCTTCTGGAATCTAATGCATAGTTACATGATCCTGATGCACCTAGGTACATAACCACACAAAGTGTCACAAAGAAGTTTAATGTTGATGATGTGTACTTCTGTTTAATTAGGTGCCTGTTTTATGAGACCTAAGAACCTCAAACTTGCTCACCAAGGGACCCAACACTGCCTGTTATAATGCTGATGTGTTTTTGTTGATGTAGGTGCCTGTGTCTTGGGCTTCATTGTGGGCAAGATGTCTTACTTTGACCAATGTAAGAAGAAAATAATTGCTAAAATTCCTAACAGCCACATAGGCTTGGCTGCAAGAGGGCTATTAAAACCGGAGGATGAAATGTAAGTATGAGAATTATGTGTATCTGTGATGCAGCAGCCATATCCCTCACATTACTGCCTTACTCAGATCGGAAAGCTGTACTTGGAGGACACCCTTGTATATTTTGATTGTAGGTGCTGATATTTGTTCAAGTAGAAAAAAAATCACAGAGAAAAAATGTTTTACCAAATTTGTTGTAAAAATTTACTAGACTGGGTGGAGTTCCTCGAAAATTGCATGGTTCCTTGAAGGGGAGAAGATTGTATGTCTTACAGTGCTTACTGAAAAATAATTTGTCTTATGCAAAAATCCTCCCTTTCAGTGCTTGCAAAATGGTGGTTGGGACTAAAGGTTCTGAAGTGTCCCAGGCCTGAGCCTCTGAAAGTTTAATGGGATTTTTTAATGCAGATGTAGAAATTGATTAAAATATAGAAAAAAAACTGTTCTTTCCTGCAACTCAATACTACTATTACAAGTTATAAATGAAATAAATGTCCCTAACAAATCATGTTGCCGTACATAAAGTTATGCTCTTCAATCCTGTTTTGAATAGTTGCTTTGTAGTTTGTCACAAGCTGTGTTGATTGACAGATTTTGTCTACTCATGTCCAACTCTGTTTTAAGCCAGTGTAATTTGAAAGTGGCGAGTGACTTTTAAGGCTAGCTCACTGGGTGAGCAATATTTTTAAACTATTTTACACAGTGGTCTTTTTTTTAAAACTATTTTACCAGTGGTCTTATAGTTATAATAATATCCTTGGTCACCACAAAATAGCAAGTGTCCACAACAAGCTTTATTTTGGAAATATTTTGCTGATATTAATCTAAAGTTAACTGTGATGTTGTATTGTGATATAACTAGAACCCTAAGTAGACTCTCACACTTGCTCCTCTGCAGGGCTCTTTATCAGTCAGCGTCACCTGTGGAAGGGAGACAACTCTCTGATATACCAAAGGATGAGATGCGCAGCACAGATTTTGACACAGATAAGACGCCGGCACAAATACCTAAAGGGCTTGACATCAATGACAGACCCAGTGTAGATCAGGAAGGTAGGTCTGGAAGGCTATGTTTGCAAAGAAATTAGAGGAAATTACTTTTCAGCATACTCGCTCTTTCACCAAATCTCACCTCACCTCATCTCACCCGAACACCTCCTTACCACACCTCACCCCATCCCTCCTTACCTATCCTCACCTAACCCTCCTTACCACACCTCTCCCCAACCCTCCTTACCTCACCCCAACCCTCTTCGTCTCACCCGCACCGTTCTTACCACACCTCACACCAACCCTCCTTACCACACCACACCTCAACCCACACCAACCCTCCTTACCACACCTCACCCCAATCCTCCTAACCACACCTCACCTCGCCCCACACAACCCTTCTTACCACACCTCACCCCACACAACCCTTCTTACCACACCTCGTGTCACCCCAACCCTCCTTACCACACCTCACCCCACACAACCCTTCTTACCACACCTCACCTCACCCCAACCCTCCTTACCACACCTCACCTCACCCCAAACCCTTCTTACCACACCTCACCCCACACAACCCCTTCTTACCACACCTCACCTCACACCCAACCCTCTTACCACACCTCACCTCACCCCAACCCTCCTTACCACACCTCCTCACCACACAACCCTTCTTACCACACCTCACCCCACACAACCCTTCTTACCACACCTCACCCCACACAACCCTTCTTACCACACCTCACCTCAACCCAACCCTCCTACCACACCTCAACCCACACAACCCTTTCTTACTCACACCCTCACCTCACCCCAACCCTCCTACCACACCTCACTCACCCCACACAACCCTCCTTACCACACCTCACCTCACCCCAACCCTCCTTACCACACCCTCACCCCACCACAACCCTCCTACCACACCTCACCTCACCCCAACCCTCCTACCACACCTCACCCCACACAACCCTTCTACCACACCTCACCTCACCCCAACCCTCCTTACCACACCCCACACCTCACCCCAACCCTCCTTACCACACCTCACCTCACCTCACCCCAACCCTCCTTACCACACCTCACCTCACCCCAACCCTCCTTACCACACCACCCCCAACCCTTCTTACCACACCTCACCTCACCCCAACCCTTCTTACCACACCTCACCTCACCCCAACCCTTCTTACCACACCTCACCACCCCCCCAACCCTTCTTACCACACCTCCCTCACCCCTCCAACCCTTCTACCTCACACCCAACCCTCTTACAACACCTCACCCACCCAAACCCTTCTTACCACACCCTCACCTCACACCAACCCTCTCTTACCACACCTCACCTCATCCCAACCCTTCTTACCAAACCTCACCTCACCCCAACCCTCGTACACCTCACCTCACGCCTCAATTCACCTCACCTCACCCCTCCTCAGGGGTGGCAGGTAGCCTAGTGGTTAAGGCGTTCACTCGTCATGCTGAAGACCCATGTTCGATTCCCCACATGGGCACAATGTGTGAAGCCCATTTCTGGTGTTCCCCGGTGTGATATTGCTGGAATATTGCTAAAAGCGGCGTAAAACCAACTCACTCACTCACCCCTCTTCAATTCACCTCACCCACCCCTCACCTCACCCCAACTGTCCTTATCACACCCCACCCCGCCTCACCTCACCACCTCCTATCAATAGACTGATGTCATATAGCTGCAACATACATTCACTGAGGAACTTAACTCACACATTTCCTCACAGCTCACTCATCTATTCACTCACTCCCCCTGCCCAGCTCATCTGCTCAATCATTCCCTGACTCACTCCCTTGCTCAGAGGTACAGATAAGCTGCGTATCTGCGTAAATTACGCAAATATTTATGTGAAAACTCAGTTCCTATTAAGTCTATTGTGTACAAGTACGCTTGAAGTTTTGTAAATACTCAATAAATGTGATCTTACATGCGTACAGACAAAAATGTCAAATCGTAGCTTGTGCATCCAGTATATAGATAAAATAACTGAAGTATATTGAGAAGTTCCATTTCAGGACATGAACTTGGCAACTTGCAGTCTTTCTTATCGTTTCCCATATTACAGATCAAATGTAAATCACAAACACTAACATTTAAACTTTATTATATTTTTAAAATTAATGGAAAATATCAAAATACCCAATTGAGTTTGAGTGAGGTGAGCACAATTTATTTCGTTACTCAAAGGAAAATTAGGATACCCAATTGAGATGAAGACAAGGGAGTACATAACTCAATGACCCAAAAAGTTATCTGTAGCTCTGCTCGCTCCAGGTTTTCCACTGCCAACTCAGGAAAAGGCGGCACCCAGCTTCAAGTCATATGACGATCTCAGGAACCAGAACCGCATGGACTTTGAGAGGAAGATGGCGTCCAGTGACAGCCCCTTGAACCAGCCACCATGGCCAGCACCAGCACCAACACCAGCACCACCATCATCTCAGGGGAGACCGTTCACTCGGCCAACCCCACGACAGGATACAAGTAGGTTTCCCGGCTGTGTAATCATATCTCACGCCAGACATTCCAGTTATTACTTGTAGTGCTGGTTGTCTCTCACAATAAACCGAGCTCAGGAATCCATCAAGAATTGGTTGTACTTATAAACCCCACCACAAAACTCAATAGAATGAGCAATACTGGGACACAGTTATAACATTGTGCAAACGAAACATGCAGGGATTAATACCACGATCGAGAATACCTCATGTTGAGACACGCATGCAAGTATGCTGTTTACATTGTAGTTTTATGAATCGGGAAACTACATTAGTTGCTTATGTCTTGATTTAGAAACAGACTTTTTAAGGTTTCATTTGATGTTACATTTTGTATGAACATTGATTGATCTCCCAAGCTCATTGATAATAGCTGACACAAGCATGATCAATCGATTGACCAATTATTTAATTAATTGCTCCAGCACTAATCAGGTGTGCACGTTTAGTATGAATATCACCCATTCACCACAAATTTTATTGTGTCACAATGTGAGGCACTACAAGAAAATGTATTTCCAAATGTACATTTGTTGTTTAGACCAATCACATCTGAAAAACAGGGTCACATGAAAGTATCTAGTTTGGGAACTTTGACACATCACTCTTTCAAATTATGATATCAGTACTTCAGAATAATTAGTCGGCAGGTTATTTATGTGTACAATTTTGCCTTTGGTATATATCCTTTTCCCTTCTCTTAATGCTTACAAATCTCTCTGCTACAGGCAAACCCAAGAACAAATATGGAGACGAATGGGACGAGTAGATGCAAGTTACCTCCCTTTAGGAAGAGGCGTGTGTGAAGTGACAGCACCATCAACTGGACCGTTCTCCTAATGTTTCTACAAAATATGAAATATCTCTTTGTGCAAAAGATGAAAGTATAAATAAAAGTATAAATACTGTATGTTCCTATAAAGACAAAATATGGTAACATGCATTGATTTTAAGCACTTGAATTACTAATACATTATGTGAAGGGATGGTTGTTAATATTTGTCTTAGCATACTGGTTGACAATATGATATATCTAATCATGTAAGGTATGTGTGTATGTGGTTAAAGAGCCTATGGATATGGTTACAGAGCTGTGGACTGTCTTGACCTTTTTCTTGTAAATTATCCAGGATTGTGAAAATATGTTAAAACTCTGCTTTGCTTGTGTAGAATGGCAAAAATAGTTGACTGAGTTATGTATATAAAATGTGTGTATGAAAAGTGAAATAAAGTGAGTCATTTCTAAAGTGTTGTTCTCATTGATCAGTTAACATCTCCCTGTGCTATGGAATCTACTGTAGTGAGATGGCATTGGATCACTGGAGCATGGGAGTAAGTGTTAGTGAGCATCCCTTAGTCAGTCTCCAGGTGATAGAGACATCAGGAGTAGAATGGTTTGGCAAGTCTAGACTGCCTCACCTCAAGGCATTAAGGAGTGTTCAAGGCTCCATTTGGATTTCATTTTATGTTTCATTGATATATACTTGTAAAAAAACGTTATCATTTTTCTTTAATTAATGTCAATGTTAGTCCCAGCATACGCCTGTGAAAGGGGACTTAACAATTTATTATTCTGTTTGGAGTGATTGTATATACATATAGATGTAGGCCCAATGTGAGACATCGACCGTGTTGTTTTGCTTAGACGAATTGTAACCGTTGGGTTTCTTTCTGATAAAGCGCCCTGGTCTTGTTTGCGTGCATGTGTCGTTTCCTGACATGTCGGCTTCAGAGAGCTACCTCATTATACCATGATACCAGGTTAACACAGATAGCCCGCTCATTATACCAACTTTCGAGTCGACAAATCCTTATGCCAAATACCAGACAGGCTAACATACCACTACCAAAACTACCGTTCGAATCCCGGATGGGACTCAACCCCCACCCCCCAAAGTACTAGAATCTGTACTTTACTTAGAAAGTGTAATCTCAAATACAATATATGTTATATTTGACCACTTTCTAAAATGGCATTGTGTATTTCATACCATATTTAACGTGTTTGGGTATGGTGCGGACATAATTATATTTCATTGGACGAATAAGGAAACTAAATGGGCGGCAATCTTGTGTCACACGAGATAAGCACGGTCAATATGACTGAAGAATCAGAAAAGAAATACGAGCACTCCTAGACAGAATAGGTCAGCAGCAATATATGCATGTATGAGAGGATTTTATCAGTGTATGAAATAAGGCCCGTCCGAGGCGGTCTAGATTTCTGACGGACGGTCTAAATTTACCGCTAGCCAGCCCGATGGTCTGGTAAATTTTTTAGATGTTCCATACATCTGAGTAAATTTATCATATTTCGTCAAGTTAAATCCATTCAGGGCTGGTAACATTTTGAGTGAGTGAGTGAGTATGGTTTTACGCCGCTTTTAGCAATATTCCAGCAATATCACGGCGGGGGACACCAGAAATAGGCTTCACACATTGTACCCATGTGGGGAATCGAACCCTGGTCTTCGGAGTGACGAGCGAACGCTTTAACCACTAGGCTACCCCACCGCCCCGGCAACATTTTGAAGTCTGGCTGAATTTTTGGCTTATTTCATACACTGATTTTATGCATCGGGTGGTCTGACATGGTACTCCGACGGCGATCGCTGCTTATAATGTAACTCCCTGATTTGTCTGGTGCAGAGTCTTATTTATAGACCTCTGCCATAGATGATGTACATTGCCACTACGAAGTTAAACAACAAACAATAACGCATGGTTAACATTTCCATGTTGTAAAGTAATGATGAGGTTATGTAAACATGTTGATCGATGGAGATGATATACAAATTTACAAATGTCTGGCATAAACTGTTATTGACATACGGACGACTCTTCCGTGTGTTTCGGCCATGGACCCAGTTCGAAAAGGCTATGAACCCGTGTTTCCGTCACAGCTGACAAGGCAATCTTGGTGCTAAGACTATCTCCCATACATGGATGAAATCTATCTCTCCCCCGCCGTGGTGTTGCTGGAATATTGCTAAAAGCGGCGTAAAACCAAACTCAGTCAGTCAATACTCTACACACCAACCCAGTGGGCGTTCAATACTCTACACACCAACCCAGTGGGCGTTCATACCAGACACAAAACAGCATATTGCTCATAACGCAATGCACTAGTAAGGATACACACTCGATACAATCCAGACATCACCCCAGGGGGCGTTTATACAATGTACATTCTACAACAGTCACTAAACAACATCGTGTTTGCACGTAATGCTATAGTTAGGATACCGACACACTCTATGCAATCCAGACATCACCCCAGGGGGCGTTTATACAATGTACATTCTACAACAGTCACTAAACAACATCGTGTTTGCACGTAATGCTATAGTTAGGATACCCGACACACTCTATACAATCTACAATAGCCACAAGACAACGTAGAGTTAATCATTATCAAATAAACAATCCTAAACAGTAATACAGAGTAATTGTGAGATATATTAACGACGCCACGTTCCGCATAGACCTAACGGTTGCGCCAAGGGTAACACATAGTAAAGAGATAGATTAAAGTTCCAATAGATTAAAGTTAACATAGAATAGCAATGGTAAAGATTTATCGAACTTGAAGAAAATAAAGCTACACACCTGAGTGAATGTACTAGACAGCCACCCCTGATTTGTGACTGTCATCCATAATATATATATATTCTAGCTATCGCAAATAATCGCGTTTACAGATAAAACTTACGATAACGTTGTTATTGTGAACGTGAGATTATGTCATTTAGTTGGACCGAAGCATCTATGGCCAGTCGCCAGTATGCCACGGTATATGTGGCACGCACGCAACGTGATTTGACCAACGTGGAATACAAACCGCCGTAAAGACAGATAAACGTGATGCACCTTGGTTCTATAAGCTTTAGAGATACTGGTCGAACCCGGGCCTTCGGCCGTATTAAGTCCGATGCTCGTTATCAATGTGACCCTTGACAGGTTTAAGATTGAGGAACGTGGTCAGATAATCTGTAATATTCCCAGTTTTCAATAACACATATCGGTATAAAATATTGGTAAACCTTTGTCCATTTTTTCCGTGTTAATAGTATCCCCCTGTTCTTTTAAAATATCGTCCCGAAATTTCAATAAACAAAAATGACATCATACAGTACATTGTTTGAACATATTTTATTCAGTGTTGAAATGGATTGGGCACAAGTTATGTAACTTATTACCGCCCGCTCCCATCAGAAACATGAACAATAATGATTGGACGTAATGGATGGACATAATAATATTGAGACATATTATTGATTAATTGAAGCGCTTACTTCGTACAATGTATTTATGCACATGTCTAAAGATATTTTCATTGATAGTATTTGGCAGAGCAGGGTTGCCGTAAAGAATGGTATCAATGTCTAACTGAACTTTTGATAGTTCAAAGTCTTTCTTCAGATCAAAACGGCAACTGACAAATTTTGGACATTTTAAGAAGAAATGGTTAGCATGTACATGACGAGTGATGGGTACATTGTGGTAAGGAAACAACTGGTACCGCGTACCCATGATGGCTGACGAGAACATGTGTACAGGCATTGATCATAAGTCAAATGATCGTAATGGTGTTAGATCAGATATACACGGACGTACAAATAAATGCATAAATCGAATTGCCAACATCGGCGCAGCAAAATATTACAATAAGTTCAACGGAATGTCTGACGTGTACACACAAAACACAAGTGAGCGGCTGTCCAGCTCGTACAAACAAAACAATGGACATTTCCACCGAGCGGCAAAATCTTGCTCGCGGCTGACCATATAGTCGGAATACCTGACTGATAAGTACATATATGACATATAGAAACAGAAACATAATGTGCGCAATGCGTCGTCGGTTGCATATGAATGTAATATTTTCATGGAAACAGTAAGATCCTTGAAATTGGGAGTCTTATATTGTGAGCCTAGACTCGGCAAGGCTAGCAGATATTGTGATCTGCTCTAAACAAAGTAAGGACGTGAAGAGAAGGGAACCTAACCAACTTCAAAAGCCTAAACTGACATATAATGAAAAAATCATTCAAATGAATTTGGCTTGACGATATTTCTACGAATCGCATATTGTGAGACAGGGACCCGAAGATACTTACTTCCGCCGGTATCATAGTTAAGAGTAAACTCACAGTGGCGAAACAAAGTAATACAATACATACTGGGTATACAGTCTCCACTAAATAGCGCGGTGAATATGCCTAGCAATGGGTCTCCATAACATAGGTATACTCTTACAATAGCTGTTTCGACAGGGAACGACTATATCATATCTTTCCCAATGAGTACTTGTATATTTGATGCTCACATGTTCAAAAAGGATGACATGAAAATGTAAGCAGGAAATCATATTGTATTGAATAGCTTATGGAAAGCTATTATCTATAGTGACGGTTATAGACCTACAAAGTATGAGAAAATCCCTAAAACCGGGAGTCTGGTTTGTATGGGAAGACTCGGATCCCGCAGATAACGTTGATCTGCACTAAATGCGTACATGTGTAGGGCGTAGGATGTGACCAGATCGTACCGTAGAGTAAGAACCTAGCCGATTTCAACAACTTAATCTGATAAACATGTATGTCTGATAACATCACATAGATTACAATACATACTGTATATATGAAAACATGACAAACATCAACACAAGGAAACAATGACCGGAGAACATACAACATACCTCACATAAACAAGAACGTCCTTGAGAAGTTCACGTACACAGTTCACGGTGAGAGTCAGAACCAAAGTTCACAGATATTGTCACACACATCGGAAGAAACTTGCAGATGATTCGTGATGTATGCCTAGGTTGACTTGTTCTTGAAAGTTGGTTCACTCACATGAATGTTGGGTTACCGATGATGTCCTGATTGTTGATTATCGGCTGACATCTTGATGATGACCGGGTTGTCTGGGCTTCTGCCTCCAGTCATCTTCTTCTGTGATCCATGATGACGACCGCCATGACGCTGCCTTTGTCGTCCATCATGTCAACTACCGGTGCTTTACTGCGATATGGACCGTGTAGGAAGTGGGACCCCATATATAGTGACTGGAGGAGTACCTGTAGTGTTGGCACCCGGGGCATTGGTTTGTGGGATATCCTCCAGTTGCTCGTCTGTTCCGCCCGGTTCTGTGGTGGAGTCTTGGGTTGTCTGTGGATGGGTCGTCTCGGTCCTGCGTCCGGTGTTGCCATGTGTGTGGGTTGATGTGTCGCCATGGCCTATTTTGGTCCTCTGCCACCTATTACGAACGAGCTGAAGTTTCAGCTCGCTCAGCAGAGGTACCAATGTGACCCTTGACAGATTTAAGATTGAGGAACGTGGTCAGTTAGTCTGTTTTCAATAACACATACTGGTATAAAATATTGGTAAACCTTTGTCCATTTCTACCGTGTTAATATCTTGGTGCTAAGACGATCTCCCATACATGGATGAAATCTCTCTCTCTCTCTCTCTCTCTCTCTCTCTCTCTCTCTCTCTCTCTCTCTCTCTCTCTCTCTCTCTCTCTCTCTCTCTCTCTCTCTCTCTCTCTCTCTCTCTCATTTCGTCTTGCGCTGATCTGGAGATGTTACAATACCATTAGACTGTTATATAACTTCCGGGGTATTGTCACGTGACTAGCCGGGGATCGTCATCCCGGGAATCTGTTTCCGTTTCAGGGTGTTCAGTATTCTGCAAAAAGAATATAAATCAATGACGTCTTGTTTACCCTTTTTCAACAACAAATAATTAAAATTATTTCCCCCCACACGTTTCATCGGCTAATGTTTAATATGATACTGAGGAAATGAACGATGGCTTTATATCCGCACTTACTTAGACACCCGCATGCCACGTGCTACCTGATAATAAACAGAAAATCTAATGACATTAATAGTGGACCAAGGCACATCAAGTCCAAGGTGATCTGATGATCACATTAACGAAAGAAAAACGATGTACTTTTTGTATACAAGGTGTAATCAGGAAGGCTAGAAACTAATCCAAGATATTCCTTAATCCGCACTTTGCCGGAACTTCTGAAGCCCGGTGTCAAATCAACGTCGGCCTGTGGCAGAATAAGGCGTGCATTGTTTGCTGTCCATACAGGAGGTGACTGATACTAAACGCCTGGCATAACGTACTGCACACCGTTTTCCACCTGGAAACAATTCTCATCTTGAGGACTAACTACAGTCCGTGTGATTTCATTTGAGACTGATTAATTGCTGACTAACACAAAATATTATAATTGCAACAAAACCATAGTTTGCACAGTCACATGAAATCGACAGACCAACTCTAATCATTTGTCTCATAATCAACAAGCGTGTGTTGTGAAATTTCAATTTCACACGTGCAACTCGCACACCTGGCTGTTCTACCAGCAAGTGGTACCCCCTCGTATAAAATAGCGAAAAGTGACGACAAAATAATGATCGTTTGTTAAACAACTTTTTTATTCGGGTGTCCAAAATTATGAGACAAATCATCAGAGTTGGTCTGTCGATTTCACGTAACTGTGCAACATTTGATTCTGTTGCAATTATTAGATTTTGTGTTTCTGAGCAATTCATCGGTCTCCAATGAAATCAAACGGGCTGTGATCAGCAATGCTCGTACTCTCCCACTGTATTGCATTTCGTTACATTTCATTGTGATACACAAGAATCTGATACAAGAGGGAGCCTCCAAGCAAAAATAATATAACAGCATTAATAAGATCTGCTATGAGATAAAATGCTAAGCTAACAACTCCAAATAGTTCCACGATGATCGCAAACGAGCAAATCCTGACTCCAGTGGTCCGTGGAAGTCCCTGCACATGTGATTCAAAACCTTTGGAAACATATGTTTGAAAACTGTTCAATGTATGTGTATATCAGTCTTGAATTAACGAAGGGCGGTGGGGTAGCCTAGTGGTTAAAGCGTTCGCTCGTCACAACGAAGACCCGGGTTCGACTCCCCACATGGGTACAACGTGTGAAGCCCATTTCTGGTGTCCGCCGCCGTGATACTGCTTGAATATTGCTAAAAGCGGCGTCAAACCATACTCACTCACTCACTGAATTAACGAATTAACCAACTCTACGAAATTCCCAGGTTTGAAATGTGTCAATAGTGTCAAATGTTTAGAGTGAGTGAGTGAATGAATTTCGCGCCGCTTTGATCATTATTACATCTACATCACGGCATGTCAGCATGGTACTTGAGGACAAGCCTAAGTGATGCACCTCCCAGACGCTGGTGCCTTCGAACCCACAATCTAAAGAACGTGCGGTGCTTTCGACACCAAGTCCACCAGTGCCCCAAACAGTATTCAGGCCCAGATTGGGAATAGGCACCAAGCCATGGATCATGCAACCCCTATAGGACTGTGAGCATGTTTTACACTTCTTTTAGCAATATTCCAGCAATATCGCCACGGGGACACCAGAAATGGGCTTCACACATTGTACCCATGTATGGAATATAACCCGGGTCTTCGGCGTGACGAGCGAACGCTGTAACCTCTAGGCTACCCCACCGCCCCGTAACCCGTATAATAACTCGAGATTTAGTTCCTCACCTTTCTTTGACGTTTCCGTCTGTGCAGTGTATACACGACACAGATAAGGACCACCACCGCCCCAACACAGGGCAACACATAATGTAGCACAGACACGGCCTGGACAACCTCCACCAACTCCGTCCGTAGCCGACCAGCTAGGTCATCTGTTATGACAGTGCTCTGAAAACAAACAAACAATGTTTGCTGGTCTATTTCTTTGGAAATTTCTTTAGCATGGACATGAATGCATAGCAGATCCGCATTGGCACGATGGTTTTGTATCGTTTGTCTCTACAGGACCCGTGAACATCCGGGTTATAATGTGTCTTCAGCAACCCATGCTTGTCCCAAGAGGCGACTAGCGGAATCGTTTGTCTCTACAGGACCCGTGAACATCCGGGTTAAAATGTGTCTTCAGCAACCCATGCTTGTCCCAAGAGGCGACTAGCGGAATCGTTTGTCTCTACAGGACCCGTGAACATCCGGGTTAAAATGTGTCTTCAGCAACATATGCTTGTCCCAAGAGGCGACTAGCGGGATCGGGTGCGGCGTTAAACAGAACACAAACTCGAACTACGGATTGTTCCATATATTATAGGAACGGGTATATTGTGTTATTATTTTTGTGAGAATTAAATCTGTACGATGAGTACGGGCGGTTCAATCTTCTAGTTACCAATTTGTGTCATTTGGGCACGGCAGAACCCTATGATCATGAGTTCGAATCCCGATTTGACCCAATTATGTTTCCAGGTTTGTTGGCATCGTATCAGTGTAAGTGGGTTCCAACAAAATGGTAAATCTCTGAGAATTGTTTGGGGCTTTCCACCTACATTAAGCTGAAATACGGGAATACTGTTCAGAGCCTGAACCCAGCCAGTTGCTATGACTTGAACAGCATTTCCGTCTTATGTAGATCACCGCATATCAGATTTACGTTAGAGTGATGGAAGACTTGGACGTTAACCATTTCGTGAAAGCCATGATCACAGTTATGGTTCTACCAAAACAACGACAAACCCAACATTCGAATCTACTATCACAGGGTCCTCACACCAACAAGGGAGGCAACTCAGCTTAGAGAGCTGTTGTCTAAAGACGTCTCGTACTTGCCTATCACGATGAGAAAACATACATGACCACACTGGTGCGATGTAAAGGAAAAGATAAAACAGACTGCCAGCACGTACAGTGCTGTGTGAGTAATTTGAACAGCGCCACAGCACAGAAGGAAGGAAGGTAAATATCCCATACCTCATTAAACCAAAATATCGGGTGAAAGTAGGTCCTCGTGTGCTCCAGCTGTCTGCAAAATCAAAGTATTGATACCAGTGTCTACCTTGCATGGGTTCCTAAACATTTAGTAGTAGTACTCGTAGTAGTAGTAGTAGTAGTAGTAGTAGTAATAGTAGTATGTCTGTGTGCATAAAGATTAGATGCTACGTTCTGAAAAGATATTAACGTTCTCTTATTTGAGTGAAATGCTACCTTAAGTCTCTGTGTCTTATATAGCACTGAAGTTGTAAGGGTAATACAAGAGAAAGATAATCTAAAAAACGAAATTATTGTAAAATATAATTGTATTAATCAGGAATATTCATATTTGTATACTACTCTCTTTTTACCTTATGTTCGAAAAATTCGAAACGTATACTCCTATCTGTAGGCGCATCGCAACCTCCATAGGTACTGCGGACGTCTAAACATTTAAAATGAATTTCATGAGAGGAAGATAGATATACAGCAGAATTGTCTCCAACTCCTGTGGCAGAGACACAATGTTGGAGACTTCAAACTCATGTATGATATACAGTGAAAACATAGGGTTTTACTAGGATAGATACGATTATGGAAATAATCAAACATGACATTTCCTTAAAACCATGTGAAATCTGGAAAGCAAACAGATTTACAGTTTACCATTTGTCTATTCCTGCACGAAAACATACCGGTTCCAAATCCAGAATAGATGCATGGTGCAATGGGTCAGGATGTAGGCCGTTGACCCCGTTAATAACTTCCGGGTCACCGCCAAGGAAATGAGGGTAGGACATGATGGCTGGTGATGCTGTGTACAGAGAGAACCGTGTATGATTATACAGAATACGTCAAAAAAGGATACATGCATGTATATCAAAAAAAGGATCATTATACAGCTATGGCACTAGATGTCTTAACTTGTTAAGCGTCACAGAAGCGTTTCACGGATGATGCATGGCAGGATCCGGTAATCGCTGGTTTGAATCCTGGTGAAGATACTTGGTTTGTTATCACCAAACATATGGTAGTGTGTGTTACCAAAGAGGCAAATCCCAAACCCCTGTATAACTTTCCTTTCTCACACATTAAGCGGACACATCGTGTAAATGAATACTATCCCTCGAGAAGCGTTCCACAGATGGTGAGGTGAGGTGAGGTGAAATTGGGTTTAACGTCGTGCTTGAGAATATTTCGCTCATATGACGAAGTGCATGCGTGTGTATGTGTATGTGCGGCTGCTTGTACTAGCCCAGACTGAGATACCATGCCGCAGTGAAGCAGGAATACCCCACTCAGACACATTATACTGACTCCGAGCCGACCAGTCCTTGTTGTACCCATTAATGCCGAGCGCCAGGCAGGGACCAACAAGTATCATATATTAACGTCCTTTGGTATGACGCGGTCGGGGATCGTATGACGCGGTCGGACCCGCGACCTTCCGCTCTCCGGGCGGACGCTCTAACCACTACACCACGGAGGCGGTTTTCCACAGATGGGGCATTGCAGGAGCCTGTAATTGTTGGTTTGGATCCATAATCCGTAGTTGCCCTGATGAAGATACTTGGTTTATCATCACCATATACATGATGGCGTGTTACCAAAGTGGCAGGTAAATCAGCGTATTAATTTGCTTTCCCCCACATGTAGCTGTGTAAATGTAATGGAAACAACCCTCTTTCCATAACCCTAACTAGTCCCTGCTAAAAGTCAATTGTACATTACAGTAATACGTTTCAATGCATTTGTTAAGTCGATCCAGTCAGATGTAATAATTCACATTAACCAAGTAATGTGTTTCGCATATGTTGGCGTTGTGTGTTTTTGTTAAACCCTTACCCATTCTACAGCCGCTGACGTTTAGCACCCCCGACGGCATACAGAAATGGGCGTTGGGGGTGCAGAACCCCACGTTGTTGGAGTTGACTCTACCGCTCTCCAGCAGGGAGACGGGGAGGGTGTACCTATAGGTACCGACATCCTTCACAGTGTTCTCTCGATCAAAGTCCATGTACAATGTCCTGAAACAATTCGAACGCATATAAATTGTCTGGGGTATTATATCTCAATTTAATACCCCATTCTACAAAACGACTTTACCGCTAAGAGTGAGTGAGTATGGTTTTGCGCAGCTTTCAGCAATGTTCCAGCAACATTACGGCGGGCGGACACCTGGTATATCGACAATATATCTTTTAAAAATGATCAAATAGTCACTTTCCTACTGATTTACGGATCCAGGAACTATGAAAGATTCAGGCTTGCAAAAGTCTCCACATGATAGCATGGCGAGAGACATGAGTTCAGCTTTCCAACAATTTGCTATATTCCACTAGCACTAGCCTTTGGTTCCCATTTCACAACTTTTGAAGTTCAGTCATGTATGCTCTCTCTATAACATTCACCTTTACTAAAAAGGTTTTTGATCAATGTACATAAGTCAGCATGAGTGACAGAATGATGTCAGATACAATTTTCTAATTTGACTTGTACCATAATGTTCCCTTCTATAGATGAACAATTGACATGTCTTTGTGTGTGTTTAGGAATGCGACAGGCTATGATAGTCTCACCTTTTCGCTACCATATAGTCGGAATCGTACAAGGGACTCTTTGACTTCTTATGATTAAGGAAAGATTCCATTTATGTGCATGGCCAAGTTCTGTTTCAAAAATGGTTACGTGTCTTGGCGTTATAACGAGGATGGAAAGCAATTTGGGTAACCTGCAAGCATCCGGGGAGTAGAAGAAGAGTGGCTTTTGTTTGTCCAGGAATGGAGGGAAAAAAGTTCCATCTGTGAAAAAAATAAAGATTATTACACGAGCAAGTGTATCGCCATATGGTAATAATCTCTATTCATTACCCATATGGTGAACATAACCAGTGTCATATATATGTGCATATCACGTTTGCCTAGCAACCGTTGTTTCTGTACTTCGTCGTCTGTGACGTCAGTATACAATTGAACGTGATGTCAGTGAAGAGGGCCGTCGCACTTGCTTACCATGTTTTACTGCACAAATGTACATGAATAAAATGGATAATAAAGAAATTACTACGCTCGAGCAAAGTGTGCCATACGACTTATACGAAACCAGTGTGAAATTTTGTATTGCCCAAATACAAATTTCACACTCGTTTCGTATAAATGGTATGGCACTCCTGCTTTTGTAATAATCTCTACATATTTTAATTATACGCTTCTTTTACTATATACAGCAACTGAAATACTGAGAACCAAAAGAATAACTCCCACGCATTTCGTGGACGTGGCGAATGGAATTCGAAGTAAGATCTTTACTGTGATCATCAAATGCTAGCGCTGGTTACCCAAATGGCAATGTTAATGAAAACATGAACACGGAAACTATATCAGTCCTATTGAGTAGAACACGGTAGTATGATATTCACAATGAATGGATCAGTGAATTGGGTTTAACGTCGTTTTTAATAGTACTTCAGTTGCTTCACGGATAAGAAGGAAATGCAAAGGCAGCGCCGAGCTTAAATGTTAACCACTTTGAAGAAACCAACGAGCATTGGTATGGAGACAAATCTGGAAACAATATCAGGCCGAACGGAGATTCGAACCCGAGATTATAGGTTTCTGGCAACACATGTAAGGAACCACTCACCCGTGCCGTTCAACATCCGGGCGTATGGAGTACTCCAGAACGGCGCGTCTCTGCAGCATAGTGGAATGAGTGATTATTGTTTAACGCCGCATACAGATTTCAATAAATACTTTTGCAAGGACAAAAAATAAAACTTTTTGCGCATATGTTCAAAGAGAAAGATTGTTTACGTGCAACTGGCAGTTCTATGAAAATAACTTAAGGTGCGCCTTATGATTTATGCCAACTAGTGCTCCACGATTCAATTTGGTTAATCATAGCTATCTCAGTATGAAGCAATAAATTTCTTTTGGTTGCCAAAAGTAAGAAGTCAGGATTATCAGGTAAATACGCTTCGTTGCAAATAAATTCAAACTGAAGGTAACAGACAATGCAAATGAAAGTGTATTAACACGTTACTCACGTTAATCCGTTAAATGTATCGACCTTGCTTAACCTCGCCAGATCTTCTGCACCAGTGAAGACTGTAAACTGCCCGTCATCCGAGCCGTTCCACTGAAACACGCACATGGCAATAAACATGTTTTCAAATTGCGCTGCACTTCTGGGGTAATCAATCGCAGATTTAGACAGCGTGTACATCAGATTTTACGTCTGTAAATCAATTAACGCCAAAATATATAACAGTCAATTCATGGCAAAACTTACAATGATAACTTCACATGTGTTTTTATGACACAAAATGTAACATTACATGGAAAAAGTGTTCATTGATAATGATATTTTGTGTGTTTTCGCAATTTCGACCGTGGGAAACAATTGTAATGTTAGATATGAATACGAGCGAAAACGGAAAACAGGACAAGCTGTGGTTTCAAGTCCTGTATATTTTACCTCAGAGTTCATGAGATTGCGAAAATGCTAGTAATCCATACATAATCCATACATACATAAATATGGTCCAAGATGTCACTATGAAATATAGAACGTCAGCGCTAAAGAATAAACAAAAGTCTAGCATGACTTCAGTAAATATTGGATTGTGATTGGTTAATTAAAGTCATTCAGAGGTATATAATCACGTTATATACCTCTGATTATCCAACACAGTATATATATTTTTAAATCTTAATAACGCGGTCAAGGTAGAATGGAGATAAACGTACTAAGTATTAGACGCGATTATTTAGACAGCCGCCATATTGGTGGAGTATTGCTGAATGAGGTGTTAACCCATTCAACACCGTGATTATATACCTCTGAATGACTTAAACCCATTCAACACCGTAGGCCGGAAAACCGGCCAAGACGTCACGAGCCCCCAGACACGGTAGGCCGGTAAACCGGCCAGGCAGTAGTCGCATCAAAATTATATATAATTTTAGGAACCTAACTAACATATGATTCTTTTATCAAATCTATCACTTTTCACAATGTCTGAAAACACTTATTAAATTTCAAATGACCATATATTATCGACAGGATTAGAATTATAAACTATTTTTTGCAATGTTATTGAAAAAACAATTCCGGCCTACGGTGTTGAATGGGTTAAAGTCATTCAGAGGTATATAATCACGTTATATACCTCTGATTTTCCAACACAGTATTTAAACAACAAACAAATAAACAAGCAAACAAACAAAAGCCTATCTTCAGAAATAACTACCCCTTGATGTAAAGGGAAGAATATCTGTGAAAAATTATATGAATGGGTCACTGAAAACCAGAGACTGAAGCACTTGCTTTGTAAAAGAAGCCAAAATGGTCATCAAGAGTATAGCTGAGGTTGAATGCCCCGAGGATGTCGTCCTTGATGATCTTCAGCAGTGGGTCCTCGTAACCCCATACCATATCCCGAACAGTGTACGTCTCGTACAGGTTGCCCCCAAGAGATTCAAGCAAAAGTTTCGTGAGTTCTTTGATGATGGGGTACTCGAACCGGGTCATGTAGGCTGCACCCTGGTGAAAATGAAAACAGAATAACCATCAAAGATAATTCAAGCACAAGTTTCGTGAGTTCTTTGATGATTGGGTACTCGAACCGGGTCATGTAGGCTGCACCCTGGTGAAAATGAAAACAGAATAACCATCAAAGATAATTCAAGCAATAGTTTCGTGAGTTCTTTGATGATGGGGTACTCGAACCGGGTCATGTAGGCTGCACCCTGGTGAAAATGAAAACAGAATAACCATCAAAGATAATTCTCATTAAGATACAATACCACAGCCCGGCTGGGATTCCAGTTTAGAATTGGTTCACAGCAGTACAATCTGCATATGGTTTTATATTGTCAGAATTGTAAGTTTACTTTGCCTTTAACAGAAATTTTTTAATGGGTGCGGAAAGGGTTTTGTCGCATCTACTTTAAACAATCTTTATTGGTCGTAGGAGCTGATGTTGCTCACCAGTAGGATGTTGTTGATGGTGGTAAAGGTGTCGTTCTCGTCCCCCACTGACAGCTCCCTGTCGAAGTAGTACCACGACACCTGCCGGAACGTCACAGTGGAGTTGGCGTGGAAGGTGATATTCTCTTTCTTCTTCTTTAATCTGAGTCAGAACCGAGGTAGAACTCAGTTATCATTTACTTTGGATTTTGTATCGTCCTCAGAGTTTCTTACACACCTACTGTCACAGAAACTCCTATGGTCCATGTTAAAACTTCATGAGGTACCATGCAGCAATGTTCCCATTGGGGCGTTGGGGTAGCCTAGTGGTTAAAGAGTTCACTCGTCACGCCGAAGACCCGAGTTCAATTCCCCACATGGTTACAATATGTGAAGCCCATTTCTGGTGTCCCCGCCGTGATATTGCTAAAAGCGGCGTAAAACTAAACTCACTCGCCATCCTGGTCCCTTCACGTAATCGCAGGATTGCTTACCGTGATCAAAGCGTTTTGACCGTAATAATTTTCTCATTACTAGGAAATGTCTCCGCGTTCCCTAACTATACCATAGAGATCCAAACTATTGAGATGAATAGTTTAGTGTAGTGAGACAACGCTATGGTGTGTCTGGCTCGGTTGTGTTTTCACCGTGGCAGATAGGACCTTCGCTTCGTCATTCAGACATCAAGAATATAAAGTCTTAACTACTGACGAAGTTCACAGCCCAAAGGTTAGTCGAAACGATCTAATTATCAACATCTGCCGGGGTAATAGCAGGTTAAAATACCGTTTCATAACTGTAAATGCAGCTGCGTGGGGGCGGTGCTTTACCACCTCAAAGTGAGTGGGGGCGGTGGGGTAGCCTAATGGTTAAAGCGTTGGCTCGTCACGCCGATGACCCGGGTTCGAATCCCCACATGGGCACAATTTGTGAAGCCCATTTCTGGTGTCCCCCGCCGTGATGTTGCTGGAATATTGCTAAAAGCGGCGTAAAAACCAAACTCAGTTAGTCAGTCAGTCAAAGTGAGTGAGTTTAGTTTTACGCCGCTTGTACATTGAACTTATGTGGGGAATCGAACCCGGGTCTTTGGCGTGACGACCGAACGCTTTAACCATAAGGCTACTCCACCGCGCCACCACCACAGAGACCTTCTAGAGGAGTGTAACAAATATCTTCAGTACAGCAGTACTACAGGCGTTGGTATTTGTTGATCAGTTGGCGGCCATTTACCTGTGCTTGCTTTGTGCGACCTGACACTCATCCCTACCTGTAGGAGTATGGCCCCTTTTCAACAACATAAGGTTTGACGCCGTGGTCCATGACTTCATCGGCGTTGATTACATCGAATACCCACAACTGAATTTGCATCGGTACTGGCAAATCTCGCCACAACTCGTACGTCGTAGTACCCTCCACCAAAGGCAGCATCTGGAAGTCAAGCACCGCAAATACAATGTGTTGTCATATCTTTTAGTCCAAATGAATAGATTTAGTCACACATTGTCAGCTTATACATCGCGGTTACATCCACAGAACAAGGAGTGAGTGAGTGAGTTTAGTTTTACGCCGCTTTTAGCAATATTCCAGCAATATCACGGCGGGGGACACCAGAAATGGGCTTCACATATAGTACCCATGTGGGAAATTCAACCCGGGTCTTCGGCGTGACCAAGTCTTGAATACAAGATACGCTGGCAGTGTACACAAGATGTGCTAGTTCTGTATTCTGGTCTGTTATTAATGTGCACATGATGTGCTAATAGTGGATACAAGAGGTACTAGCAGTGTGTACAAGACGTGCAAATAGTGTACATACAAGATGTGCTAGTTGCATGGTTGCCAGTTCAACAATCACCTACCAAATTCTTGTACTGACTCATCGAGCCCTCCACAGGGAAAAACAGCCCTCTCAACCTGAAAGAGCTAATCAGTGGCTACAGACCATCGAGCCCTCCACAGGGAAAAACAGCCCTCTCTACCTGAAAGAGGTAATCAGTGGCTACAGACCATCGAGCCCTCCACAGGGAAAACAGCCCTCTCTACCTGTAAAGAGCTACGCCGCTACAGCAATATTCCAGCAATAACCACGGCCGGGGACACCAGAAATGGGTTTCACAAATTGTACCCAGTGGCTAATCGACCATCAGGCCTCCACAGGACGGGCAGCCCGCTCTACCTAACCACTCAGGCTACCCCATCAGTGACTACCCCCTCCACAGGGAAAACAGCCCTCTCTACCTGAAAGAGCTAATCAGTGGCTACAGACCATCGAGCCCTCCACAGGAAAACAGCCCTCTACCTGAAAAAACAGCCCTCTCAACCTGGAAAAAGAGCTAATCAGTGGCTACAGACCATCGAGCCCCCTCCACGGGAAAACAGCCCTCTCTACCTGAAAGAGCTAATCAGTGGCTACAGACCATCGAGCCCTCCACAGGGAAAACAGCCCTCTCTACCTGAAAGAGCTAATCAGTGGCTACAGACCATCGAGCCCTCCACAGGGAAAACAGCCCTCTCTACCTGAAAGAGCTAATCAGTGACTACAGACCATCGAGCCCTCCACAGGGAAAACAGCCCTCTCTACCTGAAAGAGCTAATCAGTGGCTACAGACCATCGAGCCCTCCACAGGGGAAAACAGCCCTCTCTACCTGAAAGAGCTAATCAGTGACTACAGACCATCGAGCCCTCCACAGGGAAAACAGCCCTCTCTACCTGAAAGAGCTAATCAGTGGCTACAGACCAAGAGCTAATCAGTGGCTACAGACCATCAGAGCTACCTCCACAGGGACAACAGCCCTCTCTACCTGCTAAAAGAGCTAATCAGGGTGGCTACAGACCATCGAGCCCTCCACAGGGAAAACAGCCCCTCTCTACCTGAAAGAGCTAATCAGTAGCTACAGACCATCGAGCCCTCCACAGGGGAAAACAGCCCTCTCAACCTGAAAGAGCTAATCAGTGACTACAGACCATCGAGCCCTCCACAGGGAAAACAGCCCTCTACCTGAAAGAGCTAATCAGTGGCTACAGACCATCGAGCCCTCCACAGGGAAAACAGCCCTCTCTACCTGAAAGAGCTAATCAGTGGCTACAGACCATCGAGCCCCCTCCACAGGACTAAAACAGCCTCTCTACCTGAAAGAGCTAATCAGTGGCTCAGGGAGCCCTCCACAGGAAAACACCATCGAGCTAATCAGTGGCTACAGACCATCGAGCCCTCCACAGGGAAAACAGCCCTCTCTACCTGAAAGAGCTAATCAGTGAGCTACAGACCATCGAGCCCTCCACAGGGAAAACAGCCCTCTCTACCTGAAAGAGCTAATCAGTGGCTACAGACCCATCGGAAAACAGCCCCTCGAAAGAGCTAATCAGGACAAACAGCCCTCCTCTCTACCTGAAAGAGCTAATCAGTGGCTACAGACCATCGAGCCCTCCACAGGAAAACAGCCCTCTACCTGAAAGAGCTAATCAGTGGCTACAGACATCATCGAGCCCTCCACAGGGAAAACAGCCCTCTCTACCTGAAAGAGCTAATCAGTGGCTACAGACCATCGAGCCCTCCACAGGGAAAACAGCCCTCTCTACCTGAAAGAGCTAATCAGTGGCTACAGACCATCGAGCCCTCCACAGGAAAACAGCCCTCTCTACCTGAAAGAGCTAATCAGTGGCTACAGACCATCGAGCCTCCACAGGGAAAAACAGCCCTCTCTACCTGAAAGAGCTAATCAGTGGCTACAGACCATCGAGCCCTCCACAGGAAAACAGCCCTCTCTACCTGAAAGAGCTAATCAGTGGCTACAGACCATCGAGCCCTCCACAGGAAAACAGCCCTCTCTACCTGAAAGAGCTAATCAGTGGCTACAGACCATCGAGCCCTCCACAGGGAAAACAGCCCTCTCTACCTGAAAGAGCTAATCAGTGGCTACAGACCATCGACCCCCCACTAGAATTATTCAGCCTCTGTTCATATGTGGCTAATTTATTGAATCATGTCAGTTTTATTGTGTATATGTGTGTAACCAGCATTCATGTTGCGCATGTAATTATTGTGTGCATTTTTGCGAATTGTGTGTATATTCATTTTAAGACCGTTTTGATGCAAACAGAATTTCCTCCGGGATAATAGAGCTATATCTTATCTTATCTTATCTTAGGTATGCTGGTATACAGTGACAAGCTCGTTGCTCATGCCATTCATCATGATATACCTTACTATGAAAAGCATCTTAAATAATTACTCACTCCGTTATCGAGACAACATACACCCTCTACACGTGGAAGGTACTTTGGGCCAGTGATAAGATGCTTGTGTAAGTGCTTGTATAACTGTATTGTCCTCAGTGTTGATATTTATGTGATAAGATGCTTGTGTAAGTGCTTGTATAACTGTATTGTCCTTCACAGTGTTGATATGTAAGGGATATTTAGGTACAACCTGATTAAACAGACCACCCTGATACGATCATGTAACCAGTTATCGAATCAACAGTTTATATAACACCTGTCTGTACCTGCTGTGTAATAACGTTCCCCATACATCCCTTCGACTCAGTAATCGAGTATATATCTACATGTCTACCCTATTTGTCAAAACACTGCAGATGCTGCGAATAAGCCTGTCAAACAACCCCCCGAGAACTTAAAACTGTGACTTCGTGTTCTCTGTTTACGTGCAAAATATGGTAGGGACAATATTTCAGATGTGAATTCTAAGTTACGTTGATTGATAGATGATTTACAGGAATACGTTGAGCAAGAACCGCTTAATCTCTGTTTTTATTCTGCCCTAAAATAAGCATGACACTTGAGATTGTTTTCTAGGGGACGCTTTAATTTGTGTGATAATAATAGTACCACGAAAAGGTCTCGTGGTTTATGCCTCCAGACACAGGGGGGTCTTTATTCAGACCTGATTGTTTACAAGACTTTCAGTGATATAACTGGGATATTGCTGGTGGCGTTACACAACATGCACTCTTTCATCCATTCGCTCGAGGAAAATTTCAATTCTAATAAAAACTATTTGTATGTATTCACAATCATCCCATAACTCTACTTTTATTTTACGAAACCTGGACATCCTCATCAAAGAGGCTTTTCGTGTCATAACGTTGACAAAGGACTCTGTATCTCACCATGCTGCCTTTCTGCTACTTGTTATGGATACAATGAACGTATACAAATCAAAGCCATAAGCACGTGAAAATTGAGTTAGGAGTGTCATGCTATGCGTAAGGACCCCTTACATTGAAACGTTAAACCGATATGCAGTTATCACTTCATTGTGGCATTGTTCAATGTTTTCACATATACTGTTAGCTCCAGTAGCTATTGATGGGAACCCTCTTTCACGTCTCAACTGATGATTAGGGCGACATCATCGATCATCCAGGGTGTAATATTGTCATAATGGCATTTGCAGATGGAGTGAGTGAGTTTGGTTTTACGCCGTTTTTAGCAATATTCCAGCAATATCACGGCGGGGGATACCAGAAATTGGCCTCACACATGTGGGGCATTTGTAGATGGAACACTTAACTACACATAGTGGATAAGGAAAAATAGAATTTAAGGTCCCGTTTAGTGTTATTGCTCTTGGCGATTAGTTCATTTTTATCACTTTAGCACTGAGCACCAGTCAGGGTAACAACACGCACTATTGTTTTACGTTTTAAACCACCGACATTTCCGGGCAAATGCCAGGTGTTTAGCCTTTGTAGTAATTAGATAAATGGAAGTAGTATATCAAAACATCATCAAGTCAATGAAGAACTTTTTAATGACTATATGTGCCCGTGTCATCACTATATGTATCCATGCCATCAATATATGTCCATGCCCATCACTATGTGTCCGCAAGCATCACTATATGTGTCCACATCCATCACTATATGTGTCCGTACCCATCACTATATACGTGTCATGTCATCACTATATATGTCCATGCCATCACTACATATGTCTCATGCCATCAATATGTGTCCATACCCATCACTATATATGTGCCATGCCATCACTGTATGTGTCCATGCCATCACTATATATGTGTCCATGCCATCACTATATATGTGTCCATGTCATCACTATATATGTGTCTATACTCATCACTATATATGTGTCCTTGCCATCACAATAGATGTCATGCCATCACTATATATGACTATACCCATCACTATATATGTGTCTATACCCATCACTATATATGTGTCCATGCCATCACTATATATGTGTCTATACCCATCACTATATATGTGTGCATGCCATCACTATATATGTGTCTATACCATCACTATATGTGTCCATACCATCACTATATATGTGTCCATGTCATCACTATATATGTGTCATGACACCACTATATATGTGTCTATACCATAACTATATGTCATCACATCACAATATATGTGTCCATGCCATCACTATATATGTGTCATGACATCACTATATATGTGTCTATACCATCACTATATATGTGTCATGTCATCACTATATGTGTCCATGTCATCATAATATATGTCATGACATCACTATATGCGTCCATGTCATCACTATATATGTGTCCATGCCATCACTATATATGTGTCATGATATCACTATATATGTGTCTATACCATCACTATATATGTGTCATGCCTAACTATATGTGTCCATGTCAGCACTATATATGTGTCCATGCCATTACTATATATGTGTCCATGTCATCACTATATATGTGTTTATACCATCACTATATATGTGTCCATGTCATCACTACATATGTGTCCATGTCATCACTATATATGTGTTTATACCATCACTATATATGTGTCATGCCATCACTATATATGTGTTTATACCATCACTATATATGTGTCCATGTCATCACTATATATGTGTTTATACCATCACTATATAGGTGTCATGCCATCACTATATATGTGTCCATGTCATCACTATATATGTGTTTATACCATCACTATATATGTGTCATGCCATCACTATATATGTGTCATGACATCACTATATATGTGTTTATACCATCACTATATATGTGTCATGACATCACTATATATGTGTCATGCCATCACTATATATGTGTCGATGTCATCACTATATATGTGTTTATACCATCACTATATATGTGTTATGCCATCACTATATATGTGTTTATACCATCACTATATATGTGTCCATGTCATCACTATATATGTCTATACCATCACTATATATGTCATGCCATCACTATATATGTGTCCATGTCATCACTATATATGTGTTTATACCATCACTATATATGTGTCATGCCATCACTATATATGTGTCATGACATCACTATATATGTGTTTATACCATCACTATATATGTGTCATGCCATCACTATATATGTGTTTATACCATCACTATATATGTGTCATGCCATCCATCACTATATATGTGTCACTATATATGTGTTTCTATAACATCACTATATACCATCACTATATATGTGTCATGTCCATCACATCACTACATATGTGTCCATGTCATCACTATATATGTGTGTTTATATACCATCACTATATATGTCCATGTCATCACTATATATGTGTCACGCCATCACTATATATGTGTCATGATATCACTATATATGTGTTTATACCATCACTATATATGTGTCATGCCATCACTATATATGTGTCATGCCATCACTATATATGTGTCCATGTCATCACTATATATGTGTTTATACCATCATTATATATGTGTCATGACATCACTATATATGTGTTTATACCATCACTATATATGTGTCATGCCATCACTATATATGTGTCCATGTCATCACTATATATGTCTATACCATCACTATATATGTGTCATGCCATCACAATATATGTGTCCATGTCATCACTATATATGTGTCCATGTCATCACTATATGTCTATACCATCACAATATATGTGTCCATGTCATCACTATATATGTGTCCATGTCATCACTATATATGTGTCCATGTCATCACTATATATGTGTCCATGTCATCACTATATATGTGTCATGCCATCACTATATATGTGTCTATACCCATCACTGTATATGTCTATACCCATCACTGTATATGTGTCCATGCCATCACTATATATGTGTCCAAGCCATCACTATATATATGTCCATGCCATCACTATATATGTGTCTATACCCATCACTATATATGTGTCCATGCCATCACTGTATATGTGTCTATACCCAATATGGTACATGTACCCCAGCCCCATGCCGAAAACGAAACGTGTTTAAGTCCTAACTGATTGATTCTCCTTGTAAACCGCAGTATCCAAGAGACATGTCGATTGACTGAAATTCGAAGCTGTGCCATCGTAGGCACAATATTGCATCTGACTAACAAGAAACGCTGTGTTATATGAAGGTAGAATTCAATGTACCTGATTGACACAAACAACTTTATTAGTTTCAATTGCTGAAACTTAACCGAAGTATTATAGGAGGTCTCCAGAGCAGCAACTACTTACACGAAACGATACAGTAACCCAGGAACTGGTGGATATGACGAAGTGTCGTTTTTTGTTCCGGCAAATATTATAGTCGAAATATGTACAACGAACTATGCTTATAACGAACTAAATATAGTGGTCCGTTTGAGTTCTTTATAATCGTATTTTACAGTATTGCCATTATTTTCTGAACGTTTGACTCTGAATTCTATGTTTACAGGCAAATGTCTGGTGACGCTGATGGGTCAGGGTGCCTCAACCAGTGCAGACTTCCTACAGATCAATAGGTCTAGCGAGTTGAGTGCAGCAAGGAAACAATAGGCAAGGGCTGACTCATGGACTCACTGCAAACAACGTTAACCCTTGTAGGTTTAATTAATAATGTAAATTTACATCATCTCGTCATGGGGCGGTGGGGTAGCCTGGTGGTTAAAGCGTTCGCTCGTCACGCCGAAGGCCCGGGTTCGATTCCCCACATGGGTACAATTTGTGAAGCCCATTTCTGGTGTCCCCCACCGTGATATTGCTAAAACGGCGTAAAACCATACTCAGTCAGTCGGTCAGTCATCTCGTCATTTGTATTATAATCATATCAAATCATAAGGTTAGATCATCACCAACTTGGTCTCTACGCGTGTTATCCGTCCTCGTCAGAGGTCACACGTTGTCATCACTGTGTCATTTCAGACTGAATCAAAATATTTATATGTGTGTGTCACCTGGTGTCAGACCTGTCATCACTCACGGGGTATTATGGATATACTCTGGCTCGGACGGGAAATCGTCGGTATAGAGTGAGTGAGTTTTTAAGCAATATTCCAGCAATACACCAGAAATGGGCTTCACACATTGTGCCCATGTGGGGGATCGAACCCGGGCCTTCGGCGTGACGAGCGAACGCTTAACTACTAGGCTCCCCCACCCCCACGTCGGTATAGAAGTTTTGGTTTGGAAGTTTTTATTTGCCATTGCATACAATAGTTTCAGAAAATATTCATATCACAGTACAAATATATCTTCCTAAAACGTAATGTCTCCATACAAAGTTCTCTCCCTTGTATAGATCACAGAAGACGTTGATGAGAATATTGCAATAAACAAGACTCGGATTCAAAACAATTATGAATTTGGTACATCTGTATCAGGACTAAAATAATCTTTAGACAGTGAGTATTATCTATATACACTCACCGTGTTGTGGTCAACCTTTGTGTTGTTATGAATTGCAGAACTGCCAGTATGATATAGTAGAACAAAACACGTGATCACAACTCTGTAAATTGTGTATTATGAAACCACCTTATATTTGTATAGTAATATGTGGGGGAATTGGCGTAAGCTTCATGTAGTCTTTACAAAATAACCTGGGTGAATGAGAGTGAGAACGTTTTCTTTTCCTCTTTCAATAATACTCTTGCAATATCACCAGAAAAGGGCTTCACACATTCTGTCCATGTGGGAAATTGAACCCGGGTCTTCAGCGTGACGAGCGAACGCTTTAACCACTAGGCTCCCCACCGCCCCAACACCTTAAAAGAATAACCCAGTGAGAAAACAAATATAAACAATTATATGATCATCACACCCCATTCACGTCCACACCTATTTATCATAAGTAATTATTCTGATTACAGTAATGAAGCCGTATATTTTACTGCCAAACAACTCTACTTTCTTAGTAGACAAATAGTGGCGGTGGGGTAGCCTAGTGGGTATAGCGTTCGCTCGTCACGACGGAGTCCCAGTTTCGATTCCCCACAAGGGTACAATGTGTGAAGCCGATTCTGGTGTCCCCCGCCATGACATTGCTGGAATATTTCTAAAAGCTGCGTAAAACTAAACTCATTCACTCTCTCACTCATAGACAAATACTGTTGTTTCACTGTATAAATCACATCAAATGTCATTATTTCAATGAAAACATCGATCTGATGTGTTTGCAAGTGCCCGTTGTAGTTGAACATACCTTTCTCATTTCCTGGTGTAGGATTATGTTAAACACCGTGGGTGTTATGATGCCAAATATCAGCACCACGAGTCCGACGAAACCCCAGAGAATGGCGCACTTCTGTCCCATGTCGTGACGTTCAGTCCCGCACTGAAACACACCAGCGCTGAAACATTCTTTATAACAGCGTGTGTTATCACCGTATCTATGTTAACATGTTATCGCATGGTATCAGTGCGACGGTCCTCATACACGTGCGTCTTGATATACAGTCCGTTGTACTTTGAAAGCAATAATGTTATTGTATTGTGCTTACATTCTTTATCTTCTAAGTTGGATTAATCAGTTTCACTTGAGTCAGTTACATGTGACATGTGAGTGCGTGCGCGTGTGGGAGCGTGCCACATCCATTCGGCAGCTGTACGATGAAGAGTTGTCCGAGGTTGCTGACCCAGCGTCTGTACGATCGTTCTCGAGTGTAAAGTCCTCCCTCTACCGGCACAGAAGCAAAGTTCTACCAAACCTACCCAAGTCTCTAGCTGCTGTTCAACTCGAAGGATCATGGACTCAGACAAAAGATGGACAGCAATTCTTGTGCTTTGATGATGGTGACGACGACAAGATACTGGCTTTTGCTTCAGAGGACATGCTAACCATGCTCCACAGTGCCGACAAGTGGTATATGGATGGAACTTTCTATGTTGCCATGGGACCAGCTGTATGTCATTCACTGTATGGTGAATGGGGATACGTATCCATGTGTGCATGCGCTGTTGCCAAATCGTACGAGGGCTACCTATGTCAGACTATTCACGTTGTTGAATGATGTTGTTAGGGACAAAGTAGGGGTTGAACTTGCGCCTAGTGAAATCCAGATAGACTTTGAGGTGTCAGCCATCAGGGCAGTGGAGGAAATCTATGAGGATTGTGAAGTGTGTGGATGCTTCTTCCACTTCACTCAGGCTGTGTGGCGAAATGTGGCTGGGAAAGGACTGACAAACGACTACAAGGACATCCCACATGTGCAGACCCATGTCAGGAGAGCAGCTGCCCTTCCACTACTTCCACGGGACATGGTGCAGGACACTTGGATCGCTGCCATGGACGAAGGCCCGGAGACAGAGAAGGTCAGGAACTTCAACGACTACGTCACGAGTACATGGGTGGACTATGAGGCACGTTTTCCGGTGCGGATCTGGAGGCAGTATGGAAATATTGGCCCGCGGACTAACGACCACCTTGAGGGGTGGCACCTGAAGCTGAAAAACTTATTGCCAAAGCCCACCCAAACATCTACCTCTTCATCTGCAACATCAAGAAAATCGAAGCCGTAGACAAAGCTAAACGTGCTCAGCTCGACTGTTGTGCCCTCCCCAAGTCACGCAAGCGTGTTTACAGAGAGCTCGATGCAAGACTTCTGAGACGGAAGGAGCACCTCCAGAGCGGCAGAAAACGCCTCTTCAGTACCTTGATACTGCTGGACATGTCATCAAGTTTGCAAAGTGATTGTCAGTTGTGTGTAATTGTGAAACAAGTAAAAGACTGTAAAACCAGTGAAAGACTGTAAAACCACTGAAAGACTGTAAAACCTATCAGCTTTTCATGATAAATCCAAGATTCCAAGCAAAGTCTGAGAATTCTCAGAATGAATAAAGATGTCCTACCAACCAACACTTGTCATTTTTTTAAACTTCTGTAGGCAGAGTCGGAAGACACCATAGAATTAACCAGCTAACTAGTCAAGTTCATTTTAACAGGGGTAGAACAGGTCAGATCGGTGTATTCACTTCCTGATCACTGGACCGTATCATGTTGTCTTAACATGTAGGCAGTTTGGAACTGTAGGCAGTATGGGAATACACCCTTTGCATACGCGTGTGTGTATGTGTTTCTCTGTGTACGCGCGTGGGTGGGTGTGGTTCTATAAAAGTGTGTCTACATTTCTGTCTACAAATATATGCAGACCCGTGCCAGTTATATGGGGCCACTTGACGTAATTTCCATAGACTTACATGTCAATTTAGTGTAGCATAAATATGTTTCATGAATTTAATATTCGAAAGATACAAATCAAATTTTGCACATTTGTGAGGAACCATCTTACCTACAATCAAATCATTTCTGTTTAATTTTCCGTTGCATATTTATCAAATGGTAACCATTTAATCAACATAAGTACAGTGCCGTGAACTCCTCTAACATGGCGGCCTATGGGATTGTGCATTGTGGAACCATACTTAAGTTGATAAATGTGATGTCATAAGTTAAATAGTGTTCGGAAAATTGAACTAAAATTATGTGCGCAGAGCAGAGATGATTTCACATTTGCACGTCAAATTTTACAAAGATCCATTCTAAACTCACTTCATGAAAATTATTTATGCTACACTGAAATAACATGTAAGTCTATGGACATTACGTCAAGTGGCCCAATATAGCTGGCATGAGACCTGTTACATGCCACTACCTTGTCTGTATGTATAGCAGGCTACAGCTGCATCGCTTACAGCATGTCACATCAACTGGCAACAGGTATGGTGATATTTTCCTAGCAATGCACATGGTCGAATGCAAACCGCTTGTCTGTATGAGTTTAAACATCAAGCGTTCACTGAGACTCATTACTTACTTTCATTCGATTATGAAGCAGATGTCACCTACATTCGTTACAATCGCCGTGGACCCTGTTGTAGCCGTGAAGCGGTGGGCTTGTTTCGTGTTTAAAAATATCGTTGTTATAGCAAGCACTTCCTGCCTGTTACATCGCTGCGCATAAGCGATGACGCGGACTTTCAGAGTTATTTTTAGAAGCTGCTCCATGGCAGTAATGCCGTATTATCGCCGTCACCTGTCATATCCGTTGTGAAGCAGCCAATAGTTTAATCGCCTGTTCAGCAATATTTCAATGTAGGCAAGCTCATCGTTATCTGAGCGTTAATGTGAAAACTGTCTCTAAAGACGTCAGGCAGGTAATGGATTCGTTTTAAAGTTTCAGCAGTCACTCGCGCCGCTGAGCGGCAGATGTGCCACTCCAAAGACCCAGTGACCTGACACATATTACGGCATTATTGTTTATGTCCTTTTTCAGCAACATATGTTGCGGCAAGACTGGCCTATATCTAATAGAACTGATGTCAAAGACTTACACAGGCTCTTTCAAATACTCATTGAGTGGCATTTAGAAGCTGGTAAATGCTGAAACTGAAAAGTATAACAATTGTACTTAAATGAAGGTGGAGGAGAGAGTGGATGTGGACAGGGTGATGTGTATTTGCTACGATTTAAGAGGAACAGGAACGATTTTTATGGATAGACAATTTCTTTATTGCAATGGATGCGACGTTTCGGTGTAGATGCTAACCCCGTTATCAAGCTAGAGATGAACATTGAGGTTCACTAATGCACTGGTTCACCCTAATAAACGGACGTGTTTATAGCCATATGCTAAACTGAACAACATTCACAGTTTGACGCCAAGTTAACTTTACCAAAACTTTCTGCATGAAGCAACATTTTTAACAGCTCTGTGCGTAACGACAATCATGCACTCTCAAGAGCTTGAACCAATAAATGTCTTGTATACAAGGGATAACATCCGTTGATGTTCGACGTTGCATGCCACAGTATGAATAACATTAATTTCATCATTTTGATATAGACCCCCTATTTCCGAGCCATAAAGCAAAACCGGACCTATTTTCATGTCGAATATTTAAACAATACAACTGGATTGAGAGTAGATATAGTTTTAGACAGCGACTTTAAAGTTCCAAACATCACCTGTTTTCCTTGCAAAGTCGCATTTTAGAAATGGCTATGCTAAGACAAACCTCTTGTAACACCTAGATATATATTTATAGGCAGAGATACCCATTCTAATTTTGCATCCCTATAAAACAATTGTTCCTTTCTTGACGACATTCCACATTTTTCAGAATCCATCAAGGTTTTTGTTTTGTACAGTATTATTCTAACACATCTATGAGCTCCTGGAACCCCCTATGTTATCTGCAAATGGAACAAGGTTGGCTGCAAACAATAGACGGCATAAAGCTGTATTTCTGGTCCATATTTCTGTTCTACTTTGATAAACTACTTCCTTCAATAAACACCGAAAATAAGATAAGGCTTAAGACACAGCCCTGGCAGACTCCTCGCCGTCTCTGAAATAGTTCAGAAAATGAATGTTTGAATTTGACACTAGCCTTGACAGAAAAACCACAATTTAATACGATTTACACCACCGAATACTTTAGAAGTATCTACAAAGGTTTCCTTATATCTGCAGGTATTACTCTGGATAACAAACTGCAATATAAATCTATTTTCTATGGTGGGATATTCATGACTCGCACTACCTTGAGACTCCACGACGTCTTCATAATTTTTTCGCCAATAACGTAACCTTCTCTGTTCAAAATGGAAAAACGTAACTTACTCATTACACTAGGACTGACTGACTGACTGAGTTTGGTTTTACGCCGCTTTTAGCAATATTCCAGCAACATCACGGCGGGGGACACCAGAAATGGGCTTCACACATTGTACCCATGTGGGGATTCGAACCCGGGTCTTCGGCGTGACGAGCCAACGCTTTAACCATTAGGCTACCCCACCGCCCCATTTCACTAGGAACACGTATGGCAGTAATGTTTATGTCTCCACGCTTAAATACTGAGAGAAACAAATAAAGTAACAAAGGAAAATTCAAGCGTTCTTTTAATATTTTCCCGTTTCCATCACCACCTTTGAATAGCGCTGTTGGAGGAAATCTGAGAAATACATAAAGAACACTGTCATGAAGTGATGTTCCCTTATTTGTTTCCCTCAGTATATATTGGAGCAATAAACTGCCAGAGACCAAGACTCAGGAATGTAAGGGTGATCAAACAACATACTGAATAACATTGTGAGGTCGGGAACAAAGATGCCATGAGCACATTCGAATAATTCTGAAATGAGAAGATCATTACCTGATGATTTACCCAATAGTAAAGAGACACATCGCACTTCTTGCGAGACTGACATGTCCAAAATAGATAAAAATGTATACGGAATACCTAAGTGATGAGATACACCAAGTAAAGGCCGTTACTTATACCACCGATGCACATAGAGGTCATCATGCATTCAAACAATACTTACAGGTTTGCTGAACTACAGTGCTGAATATATGAATTGTGAAAGCCTTGAGTTGACTCAGTTACCTAACAGTTTTCTCGAAGAGCTGTATTTACACTTTAGTAAAGAAGCTGAGAGCACCATCTCTTCATCGGCTTCTTGATACAATACCATAGTGAATAATACAGGACATAGGTGCCCAATGTGTACAGTCACCTATTCCTAGATCGGCACCACAACGGCTGTTTCTAATTCACCAGGAGCGTCACACATATGTACAAGATACTTCCCAGAACTGTTGACAACATTATCACATAACACTCTATCGATGTAGATAGAGCAAGCACTGCAAGCAAAAGCAGCAGAGAACAAAGATTGGATGAAATATTACTATCGCAGAGTCAGCCCCCTCGATCATTAAAAGGTTTCTTTACTCTTTAATATACTACCCATCAAAAGTTTAGACTCAGTTAAAGCACTCACTATATGTTATGTATATATATATGGTTACATCGAAGACGATGTTTCTCCACTAACTTGGGAGAACCAACTGCAAACCTTATGCAGATGAATTGCACGAGGATCATGCATCAAGTTGGTGAAAAGCATGTGCCAATATCGTGCATGTGAACAGCTGCGTTTTGGTGTAAAGTATTGTTAAGAATTCGCCAATTTTCACTGAGTTTCATCATTTATTGAACTCATGTCAATAATCTTTTCAAAGTTACGAATATTTTACAATACATCAGTTCATGTGTAAACAGTACATTTAAACAGTGTGGAATATTTGCAAAATCTAGGTAAGGACAGTTGAATGAAGTAAGTGGCTACATTTACACTAGTGAGTCTAAACTTTTGATGGATAGTATATATGGTAGTGTAGTAATCAATGAAATGTAAAGAAAGAAGAATGTTAATACCTAGTGCTTAGCCTTCTTGCACTTCACTTGGTACTTGTTGGTCCCTGCCTGGCGCTCGGCATTAATGGGTACAACAAGGACTGGTCGGCTAGCACTATAAAACCAGCTTAAGTCTGGGCTAGTACAAGCAGCCGCACATACACATACACACGCATGCACGTCGTCATATGAGCGAAATATTCTCAAGCACGACGTAAAACCCAATTTCACCTCACCTCACCTCTTGCACTTCACTTGCACTTACGCAGGAAGGAAGCCATTGATCAGTCGATAGCTCCTGATTTCGAGTTGGCAGAAATATTATTTTCGGGTGGGCGGCCATAATACAGTCGGTCGGGCATTGAGAAACCCAGAAAAAATGTTAACCTGCGTGAACTTTTGGTTAGTTTATTGTTGTATCAGCTTCACCCGGAAGGATCGACATGTACACAGGATATCAGGATGTCTTTGCCTGGATTAACTTTTGTCTGCTTTTGTCAGAATATAGCATTGTCAGCAATGATGGACCATATCACGTGTTTATTGATTGTTTGACAAGATTACTCCTGAGAATCTTCCTCTATCAAACTCTTTAGCTGTCTTTAGACTATATGCTGCATGACTGTGAATAACTGATCAACTGGGAAATCAACCGATCCAACTTGAAAGCATGGCATTTTAAGAGATATTAATGATTTCAGATTTAGATAATAGCTTTTGTAACCAACAGACATTTTCAAGTCCTGAGCATTGCCATCAGCATCATGATGTTCTAAAAGTCAGTATTCCTGGTTGTTGATGTCGAAACAAATTTATGTACACATAGGTATAACAGTTACAGCGCAGTGTCCCTTAACATTCAAAAGTGGTCGCTCGAGAATGGTTCTAAATTTTCAATGACAAAGAAAATTGCATACATCATTGTAGAAACTATACCCCACAAAAAGACCTGGAACTATTGTCAAATGGATCCCCTATTTAGGTGGGACCAATTGCTTCGGTCTTATTTCTTACCTCAAATTAAATATATTTTAATTCTACGTGCTGTTGATCTCCTAAACGTTATTGTTGATTACAAGCGTTGATCGACAACAGCCCTTCACCTATACCCAGCCCTTACTCGTTTAAACTAGGCTACGTTTCAGTTGTACATGCCGGGGCTTCCAAAAGAAATATAGAGAGCTCACATAGCATACACCACCAAGGACTGAGTTTGTACCTGGGGACAGAAGAGCATTCTTGCGTTGTGTAAACGTGTTCTATCTATATATCTTCACTCTGTGCACTGACTCAGCATTCACCTGATGGAGGAGCAAGAATTAGCTCTGAAACTTCGTATAAAGAAAAAATAGAAGTTGTTGTCCATAAAAACGTGTTATGTATTCAAGGAGAGCCTTCATTAACACAACGCCGAGAAATGTTAAACTTCAATATATAACCAAATTTTGTTCAAGCCCCTCCAAATCCAGCACAATATCGTGTCTTTCATCCGCTTTTTGACGAACTGTTTCTAACAAGCTCGGACAACCATCTGGTATTCGATTAAGCCTCACATTACTTAGATATATCTCCATCCGACGTCTGCCTCCTTCCCCTTGGCAGTTAGTCAGACCTTCAGTAGACGTTTCTCTCACTAGGTTCAACAATATGGCTCAAAGCAACATGTAATACTTTATCAGTAGGAATCACTCCTCCCTCATAAGGTGAGTGAGTGAGTTGAG